CATAACAGGTGTTATGTTTATGAAAGTGTCATGACAGTCTTATTCAATCCCCTTCAAATAAAGTGTTACCATCACTGCTAATTGGAGTAAAAGCAGGAAAATATCAGGATGGATAAATAACTTAAATTAAGTCTTTTTGTGAAATGTAAATATTTAAGAGTCTAGAAATTATAGAAAAGTTAATTCAAAAATCTAGATTAACAATTTGAAAAAGCATATTTTGAATTGTTTACTGAACATATAGTGTTAATAAAAGAATACATAGTTACACAAATAAAAGCAAACAAGAAAACAGATCAACACTACAGTATATTTACACGTTCACAGTAGTAGGTAGAAGTATAAACTTATTATTACTCTCATCCCTCTTGCAGCAGCAGCATAATCCAGTAAATTACTATTCATGTTAACTTGATAATAAAATAATTTCTTAATTCATATTTTCTACATTCATATTCATGGTGTAATAGATTTATATTAGAAGTAATTTTTTAACATGTTATAATTGTTTTTATATCAATATATCATATTACAATAATAAGATGTTTTTCATGTTTCCTCTTGTATTTTGCTAGTTTTGGTGCCAGTTCAGGGAATTTCCTCTGCAGAACCACAGGCTTGGATGATTGTTGTGTTTCTGCAGGGCTGACTGCAGGTCCGTTCTGTGGTTCTGTTAGCTGGTCAGTTTCCTCAGCTTCAGTGTGACTCAGTCATGAGATTAGCTTTAACATTCCTGAGGCTCAGCACAAGACTTAGAACAAAAGCTCGTTGTCTCAGACTCTGTTTCGATGGACCAGACCGGTTCTGATAAACACCAGATGCAGCAGAACTTTGATCGGTAGCTGGAATATTTGCATAATCTGGTTCTTTGACGAGGATTCAGGCTGGAAACTCCCAATCAGATCATTGATCAAAAATGATCTGATTTTGTTGAAAAGATGGAGTCATGTGACTCCAAGCGCTACATTTAGAGATAACATGACTGAGGTCACATGATCACAGCAGGACTCTGGAAATATAACAGGAGAAGCCTGTTGATTAATTTGAGCACTGCTGCCACCTAGTGACTGGAGGCATGTTTATCAGTTAAAGCTGCAATATGTAACTTTTAATAAAATATATATTTTTACAGTTAAAATTGTCATTATTCTGTAAGACAGATAATCGAGCTCCTCTGCCTTCTCCCAGTGCTCCCAGTACTAACAACAGAAATACACTAATCAGAGCCAGGAGGAGGGTCTTAGCGCTGTCAATCACTCTCACTCTGTCCCATGCTCTTTGCTGTGCTACAGCTAGTTCACCATAACACAGCCTGCCATGAATGCTATTGCTAGTTGGCTAGCAGAAGCTAGCTAACTAGTAATATATCTCTTCGGCTACCAGCATTGATTGGCAGCACTAAGACCCGCCTCCTTGTTCTAATTGGTTGTTTTTGACGGGAGCGGTGCATTTCTTCAATATGCACTGCCGTTGAGACAATGGCTGAGGTCTCAATCCCCAGCCATTGTCCTCTACATCTAAATCAAATAAATTCCTCCTCAGCAGGCCCTGAGGAGGCAAGTTGTTCATTTAATTTTGGAGTTCTGGTTCTGGGATGGTACCAGAGCTAACTGCCTCCTCCCTGCCCCAGCTCTTCTCCATCGTGATCCTGGGATGTGTCGCCAACGAAGGTTACATCAACCGTCCCGATGAAGTGGAGGAGTACTGCATCTTCAACCGCAACCAAAACGCCTGTAACTACGCCATTGCCATGGGAACACTGGGTTTCCTCTGCAGCGCCGGTTTCCTGGCGCTGGACGTTTATTTCCCTCAGATAAGCGGGGTGAAGGACAGGAAGAAGGCCGTCATGTTGGACATCGGGGTGTCGGGTGAGATTCCACCTATCCGGTTTTAGAGCCTGAATGTTTCTGTGTTCATTTCTAAATGCAACATGTGTGTTTTCCTTCAGCTTTCTGGTCTCTCATCTGGTTTGTGGGTTTCTGCTTCCTGGCCAACCAGTGGCAGTTTTCCAATCCTGAAGACAATCCTTTGAACGAAGGCGCCGATGCCGCCAGGGCTACCATCATCTTCTGCTTCTTCTCCATCTTCACCTGGGTATGTAGCAGAACAGTCTGTCTGCTGCCACCTGCTGGTCAGAGAGTGGTAATACTGGTTCTACCTCAACCACCATGCTGGTACCAGTTAACTACTACAATCCATTACTGTGGTTCTGTCCGTTCTTTATTGTGTTGGTGATAATCAACATCAACGTATATGCAGGACCGTCTGAGTCTTCAGCTTTATTTATGTGTTCATTCATGAATTGATAATTTAGATCAAATGTTTGAACTGATTTTTCTCCTTTTTGTTCTCTGTTTTCTTCTGTTTGTTATCATGTTGCCTTTTATCTGGTCTTTTTGTCTGATGTTTCTGATGATGTCCTGTCAATGTGTTCCATCATGTTGTTGCTTTGTTACTTTTCTCTATTCTGTGTTCCTCTTCCATGTGTTGCTGTCATTGGGTCTTCATATTGTTGCTCTGTGTTGATGTTCCATGTTGTTTTTCTGTCTTTGATTTTCTTTCTTTTTGTGCTGTTAATCTGTTTCATCTATCTGTGTTACTGTTTCATCCTCTGTGTTTTTCTGACTTGTGTTACTTTATGTTCCGTGTTTCTGATTATGTGTTTCTTGGTGTTACATGTTGCTTTATGTTGTTATGTTTTGTTCTCATGTTGATCCACGTTGTTCTTTGTTCTGTTTCTTTTTTCATGCTTCTTGTTGTTTTGTGTTTCTCATTGTTACATGTTGTTTCTTGTTGTTTTATGTTGCTATATTTTGCTCTCACGTTCTTCCATGCTGTTTCGCCTTGCTTCTCATTGCTTCATGTTCCTACATGTTTCTTGTTGTGCTGCATTATTTCTTGTTGTTCTGTGTTATTTCTTGTTGTTCCATGTTGTTTCTTGTTGCTACATGTATCTTGCTGTTCCATTTTGTTTCTTGCTGTTTCGTGTTGTTTTATGTTGCTACGTTTCATTTTCTCTTTCTTCCATGCGGTTTCTTGTTCCATGTTTCTCGTTGCTCCATGTTGTTACTTGCTGTTCCATGTTGTTTCTTGTTGCTACATGTATCTTGCTGTTCCATTTTGATTCTTGTTTTGTTTCTTGCTGTTCCGTGTTGTTTTATGTTGCTATGTTTTGTTCTTCCATGCTGTGTTGTGTTGTTGTATGTTTCTTTTATCTGTTTCTCGTTGTTCCGTGTTGTTTCTTGTGTTGTTTCTTGCTGCTCTGTGTTGTTTCTTGTCGTTCTCCCATGTGCCTGCAGGGAGGCGTCACGCTAATGTCGTTGGAGCGTCTGAAGAGAGTCTCGTACGAAGAAGAATACAATAAACTCTTCACGCCTCCTCTCTCCTGAAACAAAGCCTCGCCTTTCTCTCTCTCAGCCAATCAGGGCCAAGCATCCTCCCCAGTTCAGTACCTCAACTCAGTCTGAACTCTGATTGGTCAATTTAAATTTCTGTCACACTCCTGTTGCCGTGGTAACAGAATGATGAGGCATGGACTCTGAATGTAAAGCAGGATGCTGAGTTTAACTGCAGACTGTCGCCCCCCTGCTGGCTTTTAAAACAATGCATGTTAATAAGTATTTAGACCTGAGGCTTGAACTACGCAGCAAGAACTTCATGGTGACAGAGACAGGTAAGCTCAGCTTCATCAACCTGTCTCTGTCACCATGGCAACTAATGTTGGAAGCAGGTACAGACCTCCACCATCTGTAAATGTTACTGATAAGATTCTGTCATGTAAGTTCTGTTGTGAAATAATGATTAAACCGCTCACCAGTTGAAGCTTTTTCCTGCTGTCTGGGAAACCTGTCAGTCATTTTAAGGTTTTATTTTCCAACCACCGTTAGGTGTCACTGTTTCACCATCATTTTACCTTAGTTTATCCTTCCTCCTGCTGCTGCGCCGTCAGGACCTCATCCATCCAGCTTCTAGAGGTCCTTTAATTAATTAGTTAATCACAATTAATCGCATTTTATTTGAAAGCCATATATTTTGACAAAATGAGCAACATTTTCAATTCAAAACCCCTCAGGTTCTTCAACTACCAGATTGGAAGAAAGTTCAGCTTCCCAGTGTTTCAGAAGCTCCTGATCATTTATGGAGCTTCTTTAGAAATGTCTAGATCATTTGTGCTGCTGTTACATGTTTAGCATTGAGATGCTCGAATAGCTTCATTGATAGACTAACACCTTTTAGCACAAATTGAACACAACAAAAGTCTTTTCCAGCGACCCATCAGATCGGTTTTATCTTCCATTTCTGTTGCTTGCGGATGTCGGTTCTGAGTCAGATTTACCAGCGGACTGGAAACATGACACAAAGGTTTCGGTCTATGGACTTTGGTATGTAAAAAGGAAAAATGTGATTAATTGCGCAAAGAAAAAAAAAATAAATCAACGAGTTAAAATCTATGTAATAAATTAATCAAAATTAACACTCGTCTATTTTTATTGGTTGGTCCTCTGTATTAAAGCGTTCCTCTCATTTCACATCATCTTTTACTATTTTCACTCTAAACTTTTACCTCTATGGCAGCATAGAGGTAAAGCATAGAGCATATTTTGTTCACCTGAAGTACTATCATTGTTATTGCATACATCATCTGTGTTAAAACACCCGTGTTCTATTTGTTGCTGGTATGAAGGTGTTTCATGATCCACATGACCTAAATTATAAACCCTGCTTCTGGTTCCACTCATGACCTTCCTTATGGGGCCAACAGGAAGTGCTGCCATGTTCTGGTGAGCTGAGTAAGCCACGCCTGTATCATGTTGTCTGTGACATGCTAACAGTGTCTGTGTTACTTTTAACCTTATGAATTTGCTTCATGTTTTTCTGATATGTTTCAGGTCTTCATGAATTCTTTCTGAGACATGAAAGGGGCTACATTATATAAATGTGACTTTTTTGAACTTTTCATGATGTTATAATGCTATTTCCTCATCCAAAATATATCTGGAATGTTGCCTTGATTCTTTGATGTATGTTTGATAAATCATTTAATCTCCATGGCAACCATTCAGCTGTACAAAACGCCTGGCTGGACCTAGCCCCGCCTTCAAGGCGCATCTCCTTCTCAGAGCTGCAGTTTCCAAGAGCTTCCGTCTCACAGAGCAGCCTTCTCCTAATCAGCTCCTTCAGACTAGCCAGGAGCAATTAGCAAACACCTGGTGGAACTGTGCTTCTGCCAAGCTCCTTATAGGAGTCACTTCTCAGAGCAACGCTGATAAAAACATTGTTGAAGAGTTAATAAAAAAAACATGTTGTGATGAGTTTCAGAAAGAACAGGACTTTTCAAAGAGACAGAGGCCCAATTTAAGGATTTAAATTACAAAGGCAAATTTCTTTTAAGACATGTTTGATATACAACATTTTTAGAACAACTGAAGGTAACATGGTTACTTGACTGCTGAAAAATGGCACAAAATGCCTGTAAAATACATAATACTGCCCCTTTAATGTCCTGCATAATTATGCCTTTTTAAATGTTCTCCCCTAACATGTTAACATCCTTCACCTCCTGCACGCTTAGACATGTTAGCATGCTACATGCTCATGCTATGATGTTTTGGTCATAATATTGCTCCGTTTTAATGTTCAATCATTTTATTCTGTTCTAGCATATTAACATCATGTATATACTTACTCTGACTTGTTATGCTCATGGTGAATAACCTGTTGATGTTCTTTATGTTTAGTGAGTAAAATATGCTAACATGTTTTACTGACATGTTAGCATCTGACAGTGAAACATGCTGTGTCTTGTGTTGTTTTTCAAATGTTCATTACTAATTACGGACATACTATTAACATTTTCAGATCTTTTAACGACTTTGTCTGTTTTTCTGACATGTTTTCTTTCCGTGTTTCCTCTGACTTGTTCATACCTGACCCGTGTCACTCTGTGTGTCTGCAGGCGTTCCAGTCTCTGCTGGCCGTCCTCAGGTTCAAACAGGGAGCAGACACCGTCATCTTCAACCAGGACTACGTCGATCCAGAGCTACAGGAGCCTGTGGAGGCTCCGCCCACATACGAGTAAAGCTCCGCCCACATACCGCTGTAGAGGCGGGGCTTAAGTTGATGTTTAGGAACAAGACATAAAACTGTTTAGTGTGATGATGTCACTCAGCTTGAAGGCGTGGCTTCTGTCTCCACAGCCAATCAAAACCCAGAACAGTTAAAGTTCTGGTCTTTAAGTTTGTTCTTATAAAAGTGTAAATCTGCAGGTATTTTACTCCACATGTGGCCATGTGAGATCAATAAACACTGGACATTATTGACCTCTTAGGTGGAAAATGTTAGTTTTCTTTTAGAAAATTATGGTTTTGTTTTGCTTTGAAGAACCTTGAAAGAATAATGTGTGGAAATGCTTGGAGCATCTTCTTTGTATAACTGAATTGCTGTGAGGCACAGCGCCACCTGCTGGTCAGTGACTCCTTCTTTGTATTTTATGGTGCTGTATTCTGTTTTGACAAACTGTTGTTAAATTATGAGGTGCGTTTCAGTTGTACAAGAGCTCAGTCTGCGGTTAGTGCAGTAAAACAGATTTATTGTTTACTCATCGTTTCCCTGAACGTGCTGCGACCTGCAGGATTAAGAGAAGGAATACTAGATCTGCACCTATTTATGGCTTCATTATTCTGTGACTCAGAGACAGACTATAAACTGACCCAGTTAAAGCCTCCAGGCTCCAAAACTGAGTAAGATTTTATATAATACTCTCATTGTACCGTATTTGAGTTATTGTGTGGAAGTTTGGAGCAATATATGCAAAACAAACATAAAAAAACAGAATACTACATCAAGTGGAACATTAGGAACATACAAATCCAATAGTTTTGAAATTCTGGGGCCTTGTAAAATTCAAAATTGTACAATTTATATTCAAAGTAGGAAAATATCAACTTCCACACAATATTCAAAATATGTTTGGTGACAAAGAGAGGCGTTATTATTTAAGAAAAGAAGGAAATAAATTTAAAAAAAAATAAAAAAAAACAATATATAAGAACAACCAAAAAAGTTTTTGTATATGAGTGTGTGGGGTAGATTTGTGGAATAGATTAAATGATAAGCTCAAAGTACAAATATGAACCAGTTTAAAAAACAGTACAAAAAGGAGCTTTTTGGATATTATGTTGTATAGGATGGATGTCTCAAATAACAAAAATGCTATTATTGATGATAATAAGTAAATAAATGTACATTCAATGATGAAAATGTAAAATGAAAGCATCACTTAATGTGGGAGGATTTTAAGGGTTTTATGTTAATGTGTGTGAGAGAGGCAGGAAATAAAACTGTAAAATTACATGTTAATTGGAATGACATTTTGTCTTACTTTTTTCCCCATTTTTTTATTTGTCTTGCCTGTTTGAAATGAATAAAGACATGGGAATTAAATGTAAACTTTGACCTGACTGCTGCATGGAGCATCGTTGGGATCTGCATTTCTGAAACTCTGCATTCGTGTAAAGGGAGGACCAGCACAAAGTTACGTTTCGTTCACACATAAGGCAAATGCAACCTAAATTCACTTTTTTCTCCCACCAATGTGACCTATATCTGACTTTTAAAAAAACTGATTTGTGCCACTTCAATGTGTGGAAATAAATCAGATTTCACTCTTTACAACCATCTGCAGTCTGAAGGATCATGCCATGTTCTATAGCCAGAGATAATAAATCTGATAAACAACTGAAACTTACAATTTTAGTTCTGGCAGAAGTTGCAGTCAATGCTCCACAAAAGGCCGTTAGTTTCTTTTTCTAAGTTTCTTTTGTCGACTTCGGGTGCTCAACAACTTTAACTTTGATTCACAGATGGCAGCACACGTTATTCCGAAAACACTGCGCTGCTGTGTCTGGGTCACTCTGGGTATTTAACACAAAAGTCTAATTGCAGTTGCATTGTAGTTTGAACGACAAAAAAACAATTGGATTTCAGCAAAAAATCAGATCTGATGTGAACTTAGCATTGGAAGGAGAAGATGGTGGCCATTGAGGATTCTTTGTGGCAATGGTAGATTCAGCAACCAGGGCTGATCAATAAAAAGCACATAAGGTTTATTGTTTAATTTATCACCTATATATTCCAAGCTGAGGTTTCCATCAGGTTTTCACCTCATTGTGTTCTTCCTGTTCCAAACCTTTACATAAGAGCTAGCGGGTAGCAGAGGGAGCTACTGCAGGTCAGCAGCAGTAATGAACCCTCCACCTGAGTTCAGATTATTTCTTTGACGAACATACCTGTAGTAGGTGAGGACGTCTGTCAGCTGCGTGATTCACCTGATCTCCTTGATGGGTTCTATACTTGATGACTCAGCAGGAAGGTTTTTCCGAAAAGCAGGAATGCGAATGAGTCGCTGCCGACTCAGACTGTTACATTCTGCTTGTTTGTTGTTTTATTAAAGAAAAAAAGACAGAAGACACATTATTAGACACATGAAATGGGGAGAACATTTAATTTTCCTGCAGCTCATATAAATTCAATATTTGAATTTGATTCTAATTTCTCTTCACTGCTCAGTTCCAGCTTTCTCCCATTGAACTGGATTGTCATCAGTACAATTTTTAATCTGACCAATCAGGAAACAGAAGGAAAAGTTGTGAATAATGAGGTTTTCTGCACTGTTTTCAGCAAAGACGAGTGAACAAAACCGTTCAGTCTGTGTTGGTCACACTTCCAAACACTGAATTAGCATAAATGGCCATCTTGTTTGGCTCTGCACTTCTCTTTTCACAATGCGGGACGGTTGTTTGCAACGCAGGCAATTTCTGGTAAGCTTCATAGTGTTGAACTCGTGCATTATTCTATAAATTATAGACCACTTATTCTTAAACATGGGGAACTAATATATTTTTTACTTTTTCTTCTTTTGCTCTTAACTTTGGTTTGTAATTTTGCTTGAATTTCCTCCTAATTCATGTAATGCTCTTTGAATTACCTTTTTGCTAAAACTGTGCTATATAAATAAAATTACCTTACCTTACTGACTACGACCAAACGTCAGCGATTGGGTAAAATTTTAAACTTTAACAGAGTTCAAGCAATTATTTCTCAATAGCTGAGACACTGTATGAAGCGAAGCGTAGAACAAGGTGTTGGTTTTTACCAGGCTGAAGACTGGTTGGTATGATGGTAAAATTAAAGTTTTGGGAACATGTCAGAGCCTGTATTTACAATATCTTTTTTTTACATGCATTTTAAAGTATCACATTAAAAAATGTTGACACAAATGGCAAAATTTTAATAAACATAAATTTTTCAAAAGAGTTGTTACATTTGCTTGAGGTGGTTTTTGGAGTTTGCTAAAAAAGAGTTAAAGTTTAAAAAAGGAGATTGAAACACATTTGCAGAGTAGCAAACTTTCCCATTTGCAGTGGTGGGAAGTAACGAAGTACAAGTACTTCGTTACTGTACTTAAGTACAGT